GATCACAGAGAAAGGAATATACACTAGTGAGATATTTGGTGCTCAGTTGTGATGAAAGCTGGCTAAAAAGCAATGTGCCTAGCAACATAATAAATTCTCAATAACTAGCAAATGAAAAAGAAAAGAGAAGATAAATACTTGCTGTGAGTAAAGATGAAATTACCAAAGGACACAGGCAAAAAAAAATCAAAGTTCTTTCTTTTTTACACTTTTTGTTTTGTTTTGTTTTGCTTTACAAACTTGTATTCAAAGACTTAGAAAAGTGCAGTACTAACTTGGGGTGGATGAGAGGGGAGAGGAGATGGAATGTATGAGTCAGAATCCTCTGACCTTAAAGAACCTTATAATTTCAGCAGTAGGCATTTCGTCTCACTAATAATACATGAAAGTAAAGCAGGGAGGGGGAAAAAAACATCACATGAAGAGAAAAAGCCAAGTTGGAATCAGCGAGTTACCATTTGCAAATGAAAAATCGCCATAGAGGGTTATGCTAATTCTATACAAACTGTGACCCTCTACTGCCCTGGACCACCTCAACTTCAATTGCATGTATATCAGGAGCTTATTCTCCTAAATTCAAATGTTTGCAACCTTTTTGTTTCCATTTGGGATGTATTGGCATTTGTTGTTGTCCTCAATATTTTAGTGACTCTAATTGTGAAAAAAAACCACATTTTAACTTACCCTAATATGATCACCATTTCATCAGATACTAGAGATAGTCTGTGTCTTTGTCCAATTCCTCCCAAAACACTAGATTCAGAGGAGTTAAGACCCTGTACTTGAAAGTAAAACACACACACACACACACACACACACGTATATAAGTGTGTGTGTGTGTGTGTGTGTGTGTGTGTGTGTGTATTTCATTTTGTGACTTGTCTCCATGTTGTTAACTTGTTTTTGAACTTGTGTATGGCTGATGCACACATTTTTTCTTTTGCTCATAAACAACCTTCACAGCCCTGCACCCCACCCAGTGCCCTCATGATTTCCCCCTTATCTGAGTATACTGTGTGCCCCATTATCTGAGTATACTGTGTGCGCCCTTATCTAAGTATACTATGTGTCAAACCCCAGAACATGTGTTTAATTTGTTTGTCTCTCATGTGTTTATCTCTGTAATGATTCAGTTTCCCAACTGCTTTTACCTATAAAGACTCCCCGCAAATTTCATTCGTAGAACAAGAGTTTGGGAGGCATGAGCCCCCTCTCGATTGCTGGCTTACTTATTAATTTGACCTTTAGTTGGTCTGGTTATCTGATTTCTAGTGATTCATGTATAACAGTTGATGCTTGCATGTTTTCTTTTGAGAAGTGTCTGTTCATGTCCTTTGCCTGCTTTTTAATGGGGTTGTTTGTTTTCTCCCTTTCACTTCATTTGAGTTTTCTGGTGAATCTTGGATGTTAGGCCTTTGTCAGCTGCATAATTTGCAATTCTTTTCTCCCATTCTGTGGGTTGTCTCTTTACTCTCCTGATGGTTTCTTCTGTTGTACAAAAACTTTTCAGTTAG